GTGAGTAGTGAGTGCTGAGCAGGCCGTTTTACTAAAAACAAATTTTAGGAATTGATAACAACTTTGAAAAATATATCGTTGCACATTCGGTCACAGTCGGAAAAATGTTCATAGTATGTTGTACCGTCGCTTGCAACTAACGATGAACAGTCGCTCATAAAAACATTCGCGTGATTAGAATCTTCAATGTTTGTCAAGAACAACAACACTTAATTGTTGTTTCCCATGTGTACAATAATAAGTAACAAAACTTTGTGTGGTCTGAACGTGTTGGGCTAGAGACCTACTGGAAACCTTTACAGGCTTTTTAATGAGAATAGAGAATGTTTTATCTGCAACTGTTCACCCTTAGTTGCAACCGACGGTATTTGACAGCATAAAATTGCCTATGGCTGTGATAACTGATATAAATAAAATACAGTCTGGTTATACTGACTTGAGCGTGTCATGACAAACTCTTTATTGGAAAATTGTGAAGAAATAGTCGAATATAGAGGGTCGAATATCATACTTCAACTTGTATAGCTACAGTATTATTGGTACATAGCGTTGTGAAGACAAGCCTTTTCTTACCTTTCGCTTCAGCAGTCTTTTCCATGCTTCTCTACGCTTTCCCAGGTGAGCTTCTCTTTCCTCAGCAGTCTCCTCGAGCAAACGTTGTCGTCTTCGCTCCCTTCTTTTCGCTAGACGCTCGGCTTTCTTGTCGTTTCCTTGCCGCTCTTCATTTGGCTCCATATCTTTTCAATTGGTATTTGATACCGTAATTGTTTGATAAAAGTTTTAATGTTTTGTTTTTGCAAATGTACAAAAAACTGTAGCGCAAAAAGCAAAATATTTTCATGAAGTGTCTGTCAGTTAAAGTCGTCATTCGTCATACAACAACAAATTTTAAATTTGACCAATCGGTGTTCGCTATTCATGTCAGTCCGCCATATTTTTGAGATCAGTGAGGATGACCACCCACGCACAGTGACCCACGCCCGCGATATTTGATGAACTTTAGACTTCCCTAATGCTTTCATTTCCCCGGGTGTAAATAGCTGGGGGGGGGGGAATTAGTACCCTCGCACGGCGCTTCGCGCCGCCGGCTCGGGGAAAATTATTTAAAAGAGAAATTAGAAACTTAGATTTAGAGACTTTAATGGCTAGCCATGATGACTGTAGGAACTGCTCAGTATGTAGTACATAGTAGTATTGTAAATATTTTAGCTGTAGGAATTTACCTACCTAGAAATTAGTTATTTATTTATGTAGATAGTGTCCTTACTTAGTTGTTTTATACTGCTATCATTTTTCTGACACTTCAATAAAGTTATTATTATTATTATTATTTTTATTATTTTTATTATTATTCCTTACACAATTAAAGTTCTCACTTGATATTGCCCTGTTCAGGATGAAATTAACAAAGCATTTTCCTGGTTTGTAATTTGTATAGGTAATCACACGGCAAGGAGTGCAATTAATGATTAACACTACGAGTGATATTTGGAAAATGTGCCAAAATTGCACGAGCCGCCGGGGCGAGTGCAATTTGGCACCTTTTTCAAACATCACGAGTTTATTTATTTATTATATGCATAACAAAATCGCTTTCTTTCAAATTCAACTGCATTTTGTCAAGACTTTTTAATTCTTTTGTAAGCAATTTGGCATAAACAAACTTGGGAAATGATCATAAACTCATAAAGACACATAACTTAAATTAGAACACATGATTCAAACTCAAACAACATATTTTAGAGTAAGAAAATCTTTATAAATTGAATTACAGACTTACATAGTCACGTTTCGCTGCATCCCGCCGTGATTATTTCTTAAAACTGTTTCCAGGTATTTTCTATTATTTCACAGTTCTCAAAATCTAGTTTTTCATCCTTTCTTTTTCCAGAATTAATGAATAAAACTTCCCAGAATGAAAATTACAATTGGATTAACGCATCACTTCCAATTATTAAAATCAAGTTATTACGTTATTAAATGAAGTTTTTAGAAATTATTCCTTTCCTTCTCAGAACGAATGTAGCTTTGTCAGCTTGCGTGATGTCGAAAGAGCAATGAAAGTTATCATATGGTTTCATTCCAACTCCGAATTGATCAATTGGGTTATTGGAGATGAAGATAATGAAAGTTCTGAAGAATCAAGTGAAGACGAAAGTGATGAAAATAACGATGACGTTAAACAAGTTGAACAAGTGAGTTTCTTGAGGTTCTTTCTTCGTCTGCACAAAATTTTATTAATCAAGCACACGGTGTCTAAGGAAAACGATCTAGAACCTTTTTTGTTTTGATTCGCGCCAAAGCTGGCCTGTGATGATAGGTCATTAAAAGACAAATAGATGGTGACTGTATAAAGTTTGGCTTATTATTGATAGGCATTCACTACTTTTTATTTTTACACTTTTTAGCCTTTAAGTCAGCTTGTCCGCGCTGTTATCCTTGGCATTGGTGTATGTTATTATGCAAGATTAAACAAAAGAGAAGCATACTGTGATTACATTTGCAGATATTTTGACAATTCATGTCCGTTACCTGGAGGTGGGCGTAGGATGCAAAATGAAATTATAAGGTGAGTTAAATAGATTGGCGAAATTAATGCGCATGGAAGGTTTAAGGTTTAACAATGTTTGTGCATGTAGATAGAGTGGTTTCGAACGCCCTTCAAACATACCAAAAATTTCCAATATTTGTCATTTTTGGAAAAACAAAAAAATGCAGTCTTTATAGCGTTCTTTATAAAAATCCGTATAAATTTAAGCAAAAATGTGTCCTAACCCGAGAAATCCAGCAAACTTTAAACCTTCTTTGGGTAAAACCATGATTTTACCCGGAGCAAATAAAGGTATGCGGTTGGTTTATCCTATTGTTCCACTTTTCAATTGTATTGTTCCATGTAATATATGCAAAAACTTTAAAATCGCTCTTCTGAAATGAACGTTTGGCGAAATACAAAAAAATCTTTTATTGTTGATACTGAATCAATTCGACCGAAATTCTCATAGTTTAATTATTAGTAACAGACCCATGTCCTGAACCTAAAGAAATTCATATATCATCGTTATAGATTGCAAGAGAACCCTTATATGAATTACTTTCTTTATATATTTATAAAAAAGGAACGAAATGAAGGCCTTAATCTATTACCTGTATATTATTTTATGTTCGGAGCATAGACCGATGTATTAGTTGTCCATTGAAGCTCTAAAATCCTCAGTAATTGAATTTGGCTCACATCCTTTTTCGAGCAAACCCTATATTTTACCATATAAGAAAGCCTATCTTAGTTACTATGGCAACGACGAATGTAAAAGTCACTGATCCTGTCTTGTTTTTGTAAATGCCATGAGAAACCTTGATATTACTTAAGGTGGCTCCATACAATTTTTGAAATATGACAAAATCGTGATTTAGATTTAATTTTTCGAAGAGAGGTTTCTTGTTAGAAGACAAAAATTGTACCACATATATTGAGCAATCTTCTAAGAGTTGAAAATTGTTCACAAAAATGACGTCATTACCGTTGCTATGGTAACAATGACGTTTCAATATGGCCGACATTTTACCTTTTGACGCATTTTCCTCGAAAAAAAGGCCGGTTACCCCAAATTTTTATTTCATGAAACGTTTTCATGTAGAAAAATGAATGATGTGAATAAGTTTAAAAAAATTCTGTAGATCGGAATTTTTTAAAAATTAAAAAACGTGATTTTTCGTGATGAATATTTTTTGGATCTACAGAATAAAAAATGGGGGTAACCGACCTTTTTTCGAGTAAAATGCGTCAAAAGGTAAAATGTCGGCTATATTGAAACGTCATTGTTACCATAGCAACGGTAGTGACATCATTTTTGTGAACAATTTTCAACGCTTAGAAGATTGCTCAATATATGTGATACAATTTTTGTCTTCTAACAAGAAACCTTTCTTCAAAAAATTAAATCTAAATAACGATCTTGTCATATTCAGTCAAGAATTGTAGGGAGACAGTAAAAATATACAAGATAATAATGGTTTACGTATAATTTTGACTCAAGGGCTTCATAAACTTGTACATTCGTTCCTGAAGTTATTTCCCCTTCACTGGATGCTTTATGCTTAATTAATTCGTTTGAAAATTTTGAAGAAACTCCTATTTCCTAAGAATACTTTAATTAATCTCCTTTATATATCAAAACCAAGTGAAGAACACATTCATTTTCATACCGTATTTCCTCATATTGCCGGCGCTATATATTGTTAACAGTTTTGAAGCAATTTGCGGTAGCTGCTTATGTTAAAATTCTCTCGATTGTTGGCTAACTCTTCTGACAACGCCCTTTACGCGTATGGACGCTACTTATTTTTTTAAACTAATAAATATGTTTCTAGATGTCAGCGTGGATTTTTGAAGGACATACAACTCGGTCGAAACATTGCCAGAAATACTGCTTTAAGTGAGAATGTCTTCATGATGGCAGTCTGTACCGAGTTACGCATCCCGTTGTTTGTTGTTGGCAAACCAGGCAGTTCCAAGTCTTTGGCAAAAGATGTTATATCGAGCAACATGAAAGCTGGTAACTCACAAAGCGAATTGTTCAAGAACTTAAAACAGGTACGCAAGTGATTTGCATATAGTGGGATCCAATCATCGAAATAGACTAATTTAACAACACCGTTTTGCATTAAAAATTCCTATTCAATATATATGTTTTCAGTAAATTATCTCCATTTCCCCATCCAACAATTTTATTTTTTTAGAAAAAAATGACCTTTTCACAAATGAATAGACAGTCTGACGCATTTTCAAACAAGCTGAGTTCGCACTTATCCCATAAATGACTCAACTTACAAAAATTATTTGAAGAAATAAGCTAGTCGAAGTAATTAGGAAGAACGATTAAAGTTTCAGTCGCAATTTATTTTATTTTTAAATTCCGTTGTTTTTTCTTCCAAATCGTGAAAATGTATTGGTATATATTTGTCAACACATGAACGTGTGCCTGACAAATCTATATGTTCGAATTTCTTTGTTTCTGATTTGAATTCTTGGTTCTAATCATGCAGGGAGTAATTGAAACTGGAAGTGTTGAAACACTATGCCGTAGTATTAACCGAGTTTCAAAAGGTCCTGTTGTTAACCCATTAAGTTGCATCGCGTCCCCAATGCGCCCTATACTTTCTTACTTTACTGTGTCTAACGCCAGACGATTTTACTCGTCAAGGAGTGAGCGTTGGCACTCAATGGATTCAAATCTCACAGGCAAGGCACACTCTAATAAATACACACGTTTTCTAACAGTTTACCATTCATTCTTGATGATTTTTAGAAAAAGTTATTAAAAAAATTGTTTTGTCCGACACGATTAAGCCTAGGATTTTGGTTACTATAACGCTGTCGTTTTCAAACCGAAGAAGAATTGTTGCCGTGTTTAAGTGCCGATCCCATATCTAACTCGCCTTTGTTGTAATGTCTTTTGTTTCGTTCTCATTTAGCATTGTAAATTTCGCAAGTTCGATTAAAGCTTCTTATGAATAAATTCTGGACTATATTTAACAGTTGAAACAAAGACCAGCAAAAATTTATCACAAACAAATATATTTTTAGGCCAAGCGTTATATCAAAACAAGATTAAATGAAGTCATCAAAAGTATTCCCTATACATATTTTAAGTACTATTTAAAACATGACCAGGAGAGTTTTATCAGATATAAAGATACGAGACGAAGCCGAGTGTCTTTAGTTCTAATAAAACACGCACTGCATGCGAATGTTTTAAATTGCTTCAAAAACGATCGATCTAGTACGTTCATTGACGAAAATAGTAATTTTCAAAAAATACGTTGTGTAAGTCGAGAAAATTAAAGTTTATGTAAATCAAGGGAAATCTCTATCACATATAAAGATACGTACGACACGCTTATGATTTTTCTTTGTGTTTTCCTCATGAATTATTAATGTGTTTTTGAATATATTGTAATATAACTACAGTGCAGTATATATAGATTTAAATATATAGTAAAACTCGACATCAATCCCTGTTCATATGGCTTGATCGAATATGGGCTATATAGATCTCATCAGAGTGTTCAAATCGCGCTCGTAAAGTAGTTTCGGAATAAGTATACGAAATGTTTTAATTTGATTTAATAGATCCACATGCAATCGTACCAGTGTAGCCCGTTATCTACCCCTGAAGGCATCGTATCGACCTTCAGACAGTGTGCTAAGCTTCAGAAAGACAAGGACCTGAAAAAGTTTGTGTCTGTGGTAGTATTGGACGAGATTGGGTTAGCTGAAGATTCTCCCCTGATGCCTTTAAAAACACTTCATCCCCTTTTGGAAGATGGCACAGCTACTGCTGAAGAATCAGGAAAAACTTCCGATCATCACCGTGTTGGCTTTATTGGTTTATCAAATTGGGCGTTGGATCCTGCTAAGATGAACCGAGGCATCATGTTGAGTAGAGGAGTACCAAGTGAAAGCGAACTGCGTGATAGTGCAAGGTTTGAGGCGATTGTTAACTTAATATTTAAAATTGAAGTCTAACAATGCATGGATAAAATTCAAGTCTAAAAATGCATGACACTACGGGGCCGATTACATCAATCATTACATGGGCGAGATGACCCGCTTAACTAAACGAATTACTTCAGTTCGGTTAGCCACGCAGTGTGACCAGATTATTTCAGCAGTCATTCCCAAAATTTTGTTCAAATTTTACCAAATTAAGAAAAATTTTACCAATTGTCGACTTCCCAAATAATCATAATAATGCAAAAAAACTAATAAAAACAAACGTCATCAAAGTAGAAAAATTATGCACAAAAAAGTGTCTCGAAATACTTGTTGCTTTCATTGTATTGCAGTTTTTGCTAATGATAAGGCTTTATTTCTTATGCTTGGCAGTTCTGTTCATCACTTTGAGCGCGTTATTAGTATAGGTAATAGCATGGTTGCGAGTGCAATTTGGATATAACATGCACGTGTGAGTTTTTCAAAGACCTCAAAATAGCACGAATCCGAAGGACGAGTGCATGTTTATCCAAATTTCACGAGAAACCATGCATGCTATTACTTATTAATAATTTAAATAAAAATGTTCGAGACAATTGTAGTTTTAACTTACGCGTTTATAGCGAACATTAATTCCACCGGCAAACTTTTCCTGGCTTTGTTATATCACATTATACAACGCTAACAGCTTGAAAATTCCACTCAACTATGTAATTTTTTTGTCTTGTTTAAGGTAAATGTTAATTTAAAAATAAAGATAAAAGCCATATTTGCCACGCGAAGGCAACTTTTACTTTATGTAGCGCGGCGCCATGTTTGTTTTGTTTTGAAGCAATCTGTGACCGTTACTTCTTTAAACTAAATTGCTTTAAACTGATTGGTTGATTTAATCATCACAATGTTTTTCCACCAATCAGAT